AGGGTGGGATTGAAACCCTCCGAGAGCCCAGGGCTTCTCTCCTTCCTGGATACTTCCACATGCCTTCCCTGAAACGTCCTCTACTTCTAACTGCCCCCTCCACCCGCCAGCTCAGCTTTGGCAGATGGGTCCTTTCCGATGGTTCAGACACTTCTGGGCCCCATCCATTCTCCGCCCAATTTGTGTCTCCATCCTCCTGCAAAGAAGGTCAAACATCTGGCTGGTTCGCAATGGTGACCACAAATAGGTCCCAGACCAGCGAGGCCCAGGCTTCCTTCAGGGGGACAGGAGGTTTGCATCAACTCGAAACTGAACCCCAGTCCATCAGGGTGAAGGACAGAGACGAGGAGTGAATCTGATTTGCCTTCCCCCAGGTGCTGCAGGTCCCAGGCCTGGGATCTTTCAAACAAAAGTCTTAACAATATGATCACGAAATGCGGCTGCCTCTGGGTGGGGCCGAGCAGCTGGTTATTAGCCATGCTGGGAGGTGATTCATTCACCAAAGAATGGCAGCTGCTTGCATGCAGCCTGCCTGGAGACTGCCAACTTAGCCATGAAATGCAGCCACCTCTGGGGTGGAACAAATGGAACAAGATATTAGGAGTCAACCCACGGCAGTTGCTTGCAGATGAAGCTTTGTGCCACCCCTCCGCAGCATGGCTGGTGCTCCCAGGCCTTGCAGAGACCCCTGCTACAGCATCCAAGCCCCCCACCCAGCCCCCTGTATACCTTCCCTTGTGCCTCTGCAGAACTGGAAACCTGGGGGCTAATGCACCCCTGGCTGGGAATGTGGCTCCAGGGCTGTTCATCTGCACAGGCAGTTGTGGACATGGACCCCCCAGCTCAGTCCCTCATGCGGGGCTTCCCCGGCAGCCGTGCTTGGAGCCGGGCCCCAGTGCAGAGGCTCTGCCAAGTGGAGCAGGAGCCTCAATTAGGGCTGACATGTTAACGAGCTATGTGATGATAACCCCTAGCTCTCTGCTGGATTGGACCCAGCCCCCCTCCTGCCCGGGCTCCAGCTTGGTTTCATGAGCCGGGAGGGGCCTATTGTTCTTGGCTGTGGGCTGGGGAATGCAATTGCTAACAGATCTGCAGAGGGGAGGGGAAGGGGCCAGATCCGCACAGCCCCGGGGCTGCTCTTAGCAGCACCCTGCATCGTGGCTGGGACCCAAGCCCAGAGGGGGAGTCGGGGTCCAAGCTGTGGACAGAAGGGGGTTGCAGCAGCTCTAGGCTCCCCAGGTGCTTTGCACTCAGGTGCAAGGGCTTGGCAGGATGACGGAGCTTAGCAGCCAGGGTGTATAGCATGGAGACAGGGACCCCCTTCCCCCACCCCACCAGGGGCTCAGGGCCAGCTGCTCCATCTGTCACACAGCAAGGGGGCTGGGGAGCCCTAGCTCTGGACATGGCCCAGCTACACAGCAAGAAGTGCCCCCAGATGCAAGGAAACCCCAGACTCCAAGCGCAGCAGCCTCCTGGAGTCTCCCATCCTGGCCTGGTGGACAGATCCGTTCCCCCACTGGGTTTTAATTGCAGGTATTAAAGTGCTTGGCAATTAGAGCAATCACTGCGTTTCCTGGGAGGTATTGCGGGGGGCAGAGGAGCCCTGCCTTGGTAGTCAGCCTCTGTTACCACCTCCCCACATGCCCCCGGGAAGGTCACCAGTGGTCACCGTCTCTGGACGGTGGGAGGCTCCATCAGGCCTCTGATGTTGCCCCTCTTGGCCCCTTATGGACAGTATAGCCACCCTCAGAGAGATCGGGGGGGCAGGGGCTGGCTCAGGATATGGCCTGGGGCAGAGCTGGGGATGAGAAAGCACCCACTCAGGGCAGCAGCCCCCCCCTGCCAGCCCTTTGCACCCAAGGGATCATCCCAGCAAGGGAGGGAAATACTTTGCTGTAGAGGGAAACGGAGGCACGCAAACACAACTTGAGGCTGGCAATGCATTGCATGGAGTTGGCAGCAGCCCCCACAGCCCAAAATAGCACCCGAGTTCTGTCCCCCTGCCCAGTCTTACCCCAGCAGACCCCCCCTTATTGCCCCCTCTCAGGGCCAGAACCCAGGAGTCCTGGCTCCCAGCCTTCCCCCCATGTGCTGCACCCCCTGCTCAGCTAATAACACAGCCCTGCTCTGCTCCAACTCCCCAGGGCACCTGGCACCCAGAGCTCATGTTCCCCTGGGTAGCACCCCCCGGGGCCCACCACCCTGGCATCTGGGCACACAAAGAGAAGTGAACTCACCCTGCCCAGCAGCAGCCTCGCCCTTTCCTTCCTGGAGTGAGTGGAAGCAGAGTAGGCAAGGACCCCAGCTAAACAATTCACCATGGGCCAGGCTAATGAGCTGTGCTAATTACCTTGCCCCAGATGGGTGGGACAGAGCTACCCTAGGGACAAGGAGGCAGCTGGTGCAGAGGAAGTGGGGAAGAGTGAGGGCATCAGGGGATGGTGCCAGGCATCTGGAAGCACCACAGGGTCTGCTGGCAGCCAGGACTCCCGGGTTCTCCATCCAGCTGCTGGAAGCCGCCTGGTCCTGCCCAGCCACAGACACCACCTGGCCAGGGGAGCCCAGCCCAGCCCCAGAACCCCACAGCTGTGCTGAGACCCCCTCCCAGGTCTCCCACCACACATACCAGCCAATGGGTCCAGCAGAAGGGAGCTATTGCCAGGATTTGCTGGGGCCTGGAAACCCTGGGCTGCCAGCCCCCACACTGCCCCTGTACTGACCCTGCCGAGCTGCTTCCCAACATCAAGGGGACCCAGATGCGACCAAGATGTGGGAACTGTTGCAGCCCCCTCACCAGAGCCTGCTCAGCTTCAGCTGTCAGTGGCAGTGGAGGAGAGAGCGGCACAGCCCAGCTCCAGGCAGCAGCTGCTTCTCCCCCCTTCTGCACCCACCAGCCCCACATCAAGCTTTGCTGGCCCAGCCCCACCTGGCCAGAATGGAGCAAGTTGATGATCGAGGCCAGACCCAGGCCTGGGGGAGAGGGAGGAGACAGCAAAAGCTGGTACTGGGTTAGCATAGAAGCTGCAGCAGCGACGCCCTGGCTGAGATCAGGGCCCTCAGTTGTGCCAGGTGCTGCAGAGACCTTTCAGTGTCTCCTTGCCCAGTGCCTCAGGTTGACAGATGGGAGCTGCCCCCCATCTAGCCAAGCTAGGGGAGCCCTGGAAACCTCTTTGGGTATGGTTTGTACCCATTACACAGCTTGGCCCTACTACTGGGCCTGTGGTGCCCTCTGGTGGCAAAGGATGGCGAAATCCAGGACCATGTCTGCTCAGTCCAAGGCAGAGCTGAGAGGCCAGCAGGGATCCAGCCACTCAGACGTCTGGATAATGCAGGACGGTGGAGGCCTTTCCCAGGGACCTGCAGGGGTGGGTGCTCAGCATGAAGGGGGCAACTGCCAGAAAAGGGGGCTTAACACCAGTCCCTTTTCAGGCATCTCCAGCTCAGTCACCCCCAAACAACCAGATGGCTTGCAGGTCTCTGGTCCCTGCCATGCCAAAACAAGAACAGCCAGCCCGTGGCTGGAACCGCATTGAAGGTAGAGTCATGGTGGCCATGAGGAAAGTCCTGGAGCTCAACAGGTGCCGCCCCCATAGAGCATATGGAGACAGAGGGGTTCCCTCAGGCAGGTCCTTTAATGGTTTTCAACATGATGTGGGTCCCTGTCAGACACTTCAGTGCTACACAGAAGCAAACAGTTGGTGGCTGCTGGTGTCAAATAAGGGGGAGATGCCCCCCATTCCAGAAGAAGCCTGTGCTCGGAGCTGCATGTGGATGGGGAAAGCTGAGCTGCTCCCCCACCTCCAATTCTCTCTGAGCTCCATGGCACAGACTGTACGATAGCACCTGGGCAAGTCACTGTCCCACAGCCAGTGTCACCCCCAGCTTCTCTCTGCTTATGGCACTTGCAGGGGGGACTAACAGTGCAAGGGGACCTGGCCCTTGAAGGCAGGACGGCACTGAGCCCAATTCAGGATTACCTCTGAGCACCATGTCAATTATATCTTACCATGCCTGGGAGGCCAGTCAGTATCACGTCCCCCAGCGGGGAAACTGAGGCACAGAGCGATGAAATGTCCTGCCCCAAGGCCACGCATGGGACCAGGTTCTGTGCTGGCAGTCCCCAGTGTAAATCAGGAGTAACTCCACTGGAGTCAATGGAGATGATGACCATCCATGTGAGACATCAGGCCCAGACTCAGCGGGGTAGCAGAGGAGGAGCAGAGCCACTCTCCTAGGGCTGAAGCTGCTGCTCCAGACACCAGGCCCTACTCTGTCCAGGCCCCAGACAGGGCATGCCCCATTTGGGGCAATGTCCCCTGCCCAGTTCCTCGGACCCAGCCAGCTGAGCCAGTCCAGAGCCCCAGCCCATCAGACTGAGATGTGCCATTAATCCCTTGCAGAAGCAAAGTGGGGCAGGGGGCAGAAGCTGGTATCAGCTGGCTCTGGGGTCCAGACATGGGTTCCCAGGCTCAGCCTGATTCTGACCTCAGCAGCATGGGTAGAGCTAGCCTGTCACATGGGGGGTTTCAGCTGGCCACCCACATTGACGGGGCTGCCCCAGCAGATGGGGGCACCACAGGTGGGCTGTTCCCTTTCACCTCTGTGAGGAGGTGGGTGCAGCAGGCAAAAGGCATCCAGGCCCCTGGTCTGGGAACCAGGGGAAGCCAGGCACTTGAGCACAGCTCTGGGGCTGTCCAACAAGCCCTGAAGATGTCCCTGGCAGTGGGAGAGCGGCAGCCCCCTGGAGAGCCAGGTCATGGGACACACTGGGGCCAAGCCTGGCTGCCCTGGCTCAGAGGTAGAGGGTTCCCCTACCCCACCCCATCCCCAGCATGGGGCGAAGACAAGGGCACCTGGAGAGGCACACTGAGTGGCAACCGGCAAGTGGGTGTTCCCTCCCAGACACCTGCTGCACCAGGGACCCTGGCCAGGACCCCTAGCATACTGCTGCTCTGCCATTGTTCCCCCTCCACAGGGTGGGAGCAGCTCTTTATTCCTAACCCTGCTACTCCCTCTCTGAGGCTGGCTCCATATGAGTCACTCCTGCTGCCTGCTCAACGCCAGGTGCTTCTCCCACTCGGTCTCAATCACCTTGTACAGCTCCATGGTGGCCCTGGCATCTTCCACTGAAGAATGCCCATCCCTGCCAACCTGCCAGGAACCAAAAAGCCCAGGGTTAGGACCAGGGTGGCGTGGCTGCATAACACCCCAGCCTGCCTACAGCTCCGAGCCTATGGCAACACCCAGCTCCCCACTGTCACGGGCAGAGCTGGGAATGGAACCCAGGTGTCCTGAGTCTCAGCCCAGTTGCACAGGACCGCAAGGCCCACCAAGAAGACTTGGAGTGGTATCTAGCAGCACCTCCCAAGCACACAATGGACAGCACATCCCTGTGTTCCAGGTCCCCCTCTCCCTTGGTTCTGGGAAGAAGCCGGGCTTCACAGCAGCACAGTTCTGGGGTGCCTCCCGGCGGCTGATGCTCAGACCCACAGGGAGCCCAGCAGGAGCTGGGCCGGCAAGGGAAGGGACAGGGGAAATGATGAGCCTGGACTGCCCAGAAGGCAGCAGCTGGGCTAGATATGGGTACCTGGATGTCGCGGTGCAGCAGCTGCTTGGTGAGGCGCTTCAGTGAGGCAGTCTCGTGCTCAGGAAAGCCAGCACGGCGGTTCAGGAGTGGGATCTGAGCTGTGTCCCGTGTTGCCACCTTGGGGTGGAAGTACTTGAGGGCTTTGAAGTCATTGTGGATGGCATGTCCCACCACCACCTTCCCTGCGAGCAGCTTCAGGATCTGGGGGTGGAGACAGAGCTCAGAGAGGGGAGGTGCCAGCAGCTGGGGTTCCCTTGGGGAACCCTAAATGCCCCTGGAGTCACCATCATTTAAATATTACAAGATCCTGAACAAAAGCCCCGCCCCTCCACTGTGCGAGGAGAAGTGTTGTGGTCCTCTCCAGTGGGCATTTAGCATGATCAGAGGCAGAGAATCTACAGCATGCACATGGAGCCCAGTGAGCACGGGACTTGGCTTCGTCATCACCTTCTCTGGGGCTAGGCCTAGTGAGAACCAGCCTCAGCTACAGGCCTGGCTTGCAGAGACATTAAGCACACACCTCCCACTGAAGTCCACATCTAGGGCCTACAAAGATGAGTCTCCCCGGCCTCCGTTATCCCAGTGACAGAAGGCCCCAAGCTCAGAGCAGAGCTGGAGGCTGCAGATATAGCTCCTGCTCCCCTCAGTTCACACACAGGGCTGACAAGCCAAGCCCTACTGCAGACAAGACACTGCCTAGGATTATACGCGGTGTCTCCAGAGCTGCCCCCAGCTTTCTACATTCCAGCCCCTGCTGTGGGAGTTCTATTCCCCTAACACATGGGATGGCACAAGAGGCTATAACAAGTGTATTTAGGACAGGGGTTGCAAAGGAATCAGAGAGCACACGGAGGCTTCTGGCAGCTTTGTGCAGCTCCACCAGAGCCAAGAGCACCCAGGAAAACCCCAGCTCCTGGCTTGACATCCAGCAGAGCTGGCAGCGAGGTGCAAGGGTGTCTGCACCCCTTCAACCAGGTCCCCTGAAGAGATTCCCTGCTGCTGAAGGGCTTTGGGATGGACTGGACAGAGTGTGTCCCTCCACTGCAAGCCTGTACCAGCCCCCAGCCCTCGCCCTGCCCTGGGCACTCGCCTCCTTCTGGGCCGTTTTGAAGGGGATGGCATTCTTCATATGGTGCTTCCGGATGCCGCTCCACCGGGTGCGGTAGTTAGTGATGGGCTCGATGGGCCTGATGTACTTGTCATACACCACATCGCCATGGTAGTTGACGATGCTGCACCGGGCCAGGTCACTGGTCCGCCCGCCAGGGCCCGTACCCACCATCTCACAGTCAATGGCCACCAGCTTACTGGATTTGCTTGAGACAGGGGCTGCGGGCAGACCACTGTCATACTCGCTCAGCAGGGCTTCTCTGTGCATGTCGGCCAGGGACTTTATTGATCCTGCCACCTTCTTCACTTTGGAGGGGAAGCAGGTCAGCTGGGAGCTGGAGTCCATGGCCCCGCCAACCTGGACAACACGACACGCATCCTTCCCTTTGGGGAGTGTCCTGGGTGCATGGGAAAAGCCATTGGTATGGAAGGAGTCGTGGTCTGTCCCCGCCTCCGCTGGCCGCTTCTTCCTGGGTTGCCCCTGGTGGGAGACGTGCCCTTTGGGTGCAGGGTGTGGCTGCTGCTGTGGTGCGGGCAGCTGCTTCTTCTTGAGGAAGCCTTTTCGCTCCAGGAACCGGCGCCGCCTCACAAAGCGCTGGTGCTTCTGGTTGCCGTCTGACCGCTTCTTGGAGGCCTCATGGAGGCTGAAGTCCACGTTGATGATGAAGCCCGACATGGCGGGTGCTAGCAGGAAGCAGCAGGTGGGCAGAGGGGCTGGAAGCGGTCACGTGTCTTCAACATATCACATCCCCTGGCCCCCGCACAACATGCAATGGACGCTCTCGGCCTCACCTGCATTTGGACACAAAAGCCAGGGATGAGCACAGCATAGAGATGAGCCCCCAGAGGGGCAGAGACACCTCTTGGAGGTCCCCTTGCTCTCCTGGCCCCAGAAACACAGGGTTTAGCTTGGGGCCAAACCTTACTGGGCACCGTGGAGGCTCGGGGCAGCTTTGAGCCGGTACCTGGGAAAGAGGAAGTGGATGCCGACATTTCCCTTTCTCAGGGAAGCCACAGACCGAAGCCCAAATGGGGAAGGGAAGTGGGGGCAGGGAACGCCTGCTGCTGTCACCTGAGGGGGAGGCCAGAAAGAGGCGCTCACAACCCGGCAGCTGGGCCCAAGCACAGCCGTTACGCTGCTCCCCCCCAACATCCCCCCACCCCACAAAGCCACTGCTGATACCCTGCCCCCCAAGGGAGACCCTCCCTACTGCTCCCTCCCCCATCCGCCCAGTTCTTGCGCCCCTAT